TGGGTCAAAATAATGAAATTGGACCGGACGGGGGGTGGGTAAAAAGAATTCTGGACTGGACAGGGGGGTTGGGTCAGAAGCTGATTTGAGACCTCTTCCACCCCCCCTCCACAGTTATTTTTTGGAACAGCCCAATTTATAAGGCTATTTAAAGCTGTTGAAGAAGGAACAAGAAGATGTAGTTTAACTCATATACATTACAAACCTCTTATATCGCCAGTAAATGCATTATTTTCAACCAAAATATCTGTAATAATTTACAAAAGTATGTAGAATATTTTGTGACGATGGGGATTCCCCTCCATCCATGATGTTGCGCAGCAAGTTTTCAGGCTCCAGTTTTACCACTTGGCCTTTACGCCGGTAACGTTAAAGTAAATGTTATTAGATGTTTCACTTATTTGTTCAGCTAAATATTTTGATCTTTCAGTTATTTTCAGCCAATATCCAAGAAAATCATATTAATATGTCAAATTATGGATTAATAACTTGTTTCTCTTTGCAGCACTGGCACCATAGGAGGGCTGACATTTGGAGCAGCCCCAGCCGCTGGTCTTGGAGTGGGCACCACAACTCCAGGTAAGATGGCTTGTCATCACTCCTGGCAACCATAAATGTTGCCTGGGCACCAGACCTCAGAATAAAGAAAGTGCTGCATTTTTATAATGCCATGATGCCATGCAATAATATAGTGAAGAGATACAGAAACTGATAGCATAAAGAAAGGCAGCATAAGTAGAATTTAGTAGAAAGGCCAACATTTGCTCGGGAGCAAATACAGCATCTTTCAGTTCATTTAGTCCCTCCCCATTCCAAAATGGATTGTTCCATATCAAGATACTAGTAGCATAAATATTTATCTACCAGTGTTTCTTCCATGTTCCACCACCACAGCGACAGGACTGTCCTTCGGCACCCCATCCACCAAGACAGGCAACACATCAGGCTTCACCCTCAACCTGACCAACACTGCCCCCGTCACCACCTCCAACTTTGTCCTGACCCTCCCCACGGCTGCCACCACCACTGCCTCCATATTCGGCACACCTGCTGCAGCCACCACCGCAGCAGCTACGACAGGTGGCTTGTTCGGCACGCCAGCTGCGAGTACAGCTGGGCTGATGGGTGGCATCTTTGGCAACAAGACCACTGCTGCCTCCACAGCAGCCACCACCACTACAACAGGGCTGGGCGGGGGTCTGTTTGGGGCAACACCAGCCACCACAGGTGGTCTTAAACTTGGTAAGATGTCAGTTCATGTTCAATATATTCTGTCACTGTCACTGCCATAATGTCAACATTGTTTTTTTCAACTTGCCAGTTTTCAACACTGTAGTGACTAGTGACCACAAGTCTACACAGATACTTTGAAACCTGTAGTTAATTGTTGTTGCTGTCATTTTTATACAAGTTTTTTTTTTTAATGATTTTATCCTCAGGTGGCCTTGGTACAACTACAACAACCACCACTGGTACAGGGCTGGGCGGTGGGTTTACTTTTGGTGCACCAGCAACAACAACTACGACAACTACAGCTGGTGGCCTGGCCTTGGGAGGGTTGACTGGTCTGGCTGCACCGGCCACTACTACAGCCAGTATAGGGCTGGGTGGGACCGGCCCCACTTCCCAGGCCAGCACTGCAACAACAGGTGGGGGTCTAACTAGTCTAAGTCTTCATGTGTCTGTATGTCTGAACAAGGTAGCTGTCCTTTGTCTTTGATTTTGAGAAGACACTGTAAGTTATGTTCAATTGTGTTTTGTGCAGTAACAAAATGTGCAAGTATAGCATTTATAGTCTGAGATTGTACAGATGTGTTTAGTTGGGTGTTGCCTCCAAAAACAGAATCGACTTGTGCGGCCATTTTAACATTTGCTTGTCAGTTTGTTATGGTACATTTTTTAATGATCCCCTCTTTGACATTTTTCAGGCACTGTAGGAACTAAACCAGGGTAAGTTTTATCCATATCCACATCAAGGTGTCAATTTGTTCAAAATCAAATTCAATACTTTTGAATGGTGTGGCCCTGTGGAGTTTCTTCACTGCTTTATTCTGTTCACCTGTTATTGTTACAGTGATGGTAAAGCCGGGAAGGACAATGAAGTACCCAATGAAATTGGTCAAAGTGTGGAAACATTTAGGTAGGTATCCTAGATTCTTTAGAAAAAGGTACAAGTGCAGAACTCTTCAATCTGTGTGTAGTGTTACTCTATATGTGGTTGGTTGCTGTTGGCTGACATTTGATACATGTATTAAGAAATGACATTGACAAACAGTATGTATAAGGAAGTTATTTGGTGGTTTAAACATTGTAAACTTTTAAATGAACACATGTTTATCTCCAGAAAATATGTGAAAGAACAGAAGGATGTGCAAGATGAGATCTCGAGAGTGAGCTCCAAGCCTCTTGATAAGGTGCAGGAGGACATCACAGCGCTGAGGCAGATGTTATCTGTGGTGTCCAGTGGGCTGCAGAGAAACGCTGTGGCCATAGAGAAACTCAAGGCAGACTCTGCACAGGTACATCTGCTCTGTTACATCAAGTTAGAGCAAAACTTAGAATGTTTAGCTGTACTCATTGATGTAATAAGTTTTTATGATGTATTTTATCGCTAATTATGCAGATGCATGTGACATTTTATGCTATCTATTGTAATAATTGAGTACAAGTTGTAAATACTTGACATATTTCATGCACTTAATGTGACATGTCAGTTGATATTCAATAAAATCTGAATCTGAACTTAGTCTGAGTGTCAGCCTTTTTAGCTTTTGTCCCCTCCCCACGATTTGCTTTTTGGCCAGTAGCATATCGTGGAGAGCGGACGAAAGCTATAAAGGCTGACACTCAGGCTAGGCAAAACTTACTGAAAACTGAAAATGCCAATACCCTCAATCTTACGTAGTGTACGATTGGACACATGGATAACTCATAACTGAGGTATCAAGGTTTATATACGTAAAAGAAATCTAATGCAAAGTAGACTTAATGAATTTGTATTTTAGCAAGTTCTTAGAGTTAAAAAAGAATGTACATTTGTAATACCAAGTTACAGAATAGCAAGGACTTCATAGAATAGTTCATGGCAAAAGGATCTTTCATAAGGAAAACATTTTACTAAGATACATGCTGTGTCTGCATGGTTATGTTTCAGGAACTGAAGAATGTGGAGATTGCCCAGCGCACTAAGGACACGCCCCCAGGCCTGCAGCACGAGCACACAGCTCCTGCAGAGTAAGTCAGATTTCTCATGTCTTACCCTTTCCCAGGGACACAACTTCTAGCCAGGAATACCAATAATCAGACCTGTGTCCTCTGAATCTTGTGTCCAGTAGCCAGGTCACTCAGCTTTTGACACCAGTTTTATCTGATTTGATGACTGTTAATCCTTAGCCATGGTTGTGACTCTCACGAGATTACGTTCGGAAGTAAGTGATCATTGATTATCCCGATGAAGACACAGTGGTGGTTGAAAATTTGATCTCTGTGTAACCCTTGTGTTGGACAGATTAACACAGATTAACTTTCATACGAATCCTTAGCTGTTGAACTAGTAGAACATGCCACTAACTGATCAGTTTCCCTGTAGAACATGCCACTAACTGATCAGTTTCCCTGTAGAGCATGCCACTAACTGACCAGTTTCCCCCTCTGTGCAGGTATTTCCAGCGGCTGGTGGAACAGTTTGAGGTGCAGATGTTGATGTGTCGGCAGCAGATTGAGCAGCTGGAGAACCACATCGCTGCTCTCTCCCATCCTGCATACTTCACACCACAAAGTAAGGCAACACATTTCCTGCATAAAGCCTCACCAGTTTATTTAATTCTGTATCTGTATAGCTGGTAAACATAACACACCAATTTGCTGTCAGATTTGTTAGCTTCATTCTGTTCTGATTTTCCAAAAAAAAATTCATGTTCTGAATCAACACCAAAATGCTCATATTGGATTATCTGAACATTTTTGGTGTAGTCCAACAAAGTACATGTACCATCAATGTGTGAATGCAGATTTATGATGGTAATGTTCTGAATTTCATGTTTTAGCCCTGTCTTCTGTGCTGCGGAGACTACATGAGACATTTGTGGCCCTGGCAGGAAATCTACATGGGATCCACGAGGCAGTCAAGGTAACGTTACAGAACAGAGATTAAGAAGAAAATTCCTAATGTTTTGTCTTTGTAAAATGTACACAATTTTGAGTAGTTGGACCTTCAGTTTCAACAATGTGTCAGTGTCAATGACGAAAGGTAGTGGATGCTACCTGAAACATCTGACCCTTTCCAAAATCATATCCAGTTGCTTTTTTGGCAACTGATTGATTTTTGGCGTATCTCATTACCTGAATGTCTAACCTTCAACAATGTATCAATGCTGTGTTGTTGTGTCCAGACTCAGAAGGAGCAGTACCTGGTGTACAGGAAAGTGTTCCTGGGAGACACCTCGGATGTGTTTGAGGCCAGACGGAAGTCTCAGTCAGCCTCCACCAGGTCCAAACCACCTCCAGTCACTGTTGGACCCTCTCCTTTTACTGGTACCAGACATTGTCATTTCTTTTCCTGTCTTATCTTCTTCATTTCAGTTTATTTTTCAAAGATTGGGCTACATCTTATCTCACGTTTGAGGTACTTTACCACAAAATCACCATAGAACTTTGATCATCAGAATTTTCCCCATCTCCTGTTTCCTTGTCATGACCTTATTTGGTAAAATCTTTTCATAGGAATGACCAATGCAGCGGCTGTTGCCATGGCAACAGCACTCAATGCCCAACAGCAGCCAACAGCAGGTAAGTCATGTTTCCAAAAACTTATTTACAAAATGTAGTTGCTCTTGATCTTTCAGATTTCAAATACATTTGTACTTTCATAAGCCTATTACTGGATACATATACATTTGCCAATCCTTTGGATGACCAACCATCTATGGGGAGGACACCTGCAGCATATGAACGTTTTTGCTCAGTCCCTTGAGTGTCCACTTTAGAGAGGGTTGACTGTACATCGTGTAACGGCTCGTGAATGGTAAAAAGGTAGATAGAGTTTTACTGTTGTAAGTAGCAGTGATAGTTGTACAAGTATTTACCATGTTACACAATTGTGTTTTTATTCCTTCTTGCTCCAGGTGCCCCTCCTACCCTGGGTCTGAACACTACAGGCATCGGTGGACTGGGCACGACTGGTGCCTTTGGTACAGGTGCTACAGGCCTGGGCGCTACAGGCCTGGGCACCACAGGCTTGGGTACTACAGGCCAGGGCACTGCAACTCTGTTTGGTGGTACAGGAACAACAGGATTTGGTACCGGGACTGGGGCCACCACCTTTGGGACAAGTGCTCCTCAGTTTGGTACACCGTTTGGTGCCACCACAACCACCAAACCAGCTACAGGTCAGCATGGGGTGTTTGTGCTTTGGTGTACGGACCAAATGTTTTGCTCAAAAGTGTTGAGGTGGAATACTATACTCCTTATTCTCCTATCTCCGTTTTTCCTCAGCCATAATCTATACTATTATTTGACTTTGGGAAAATGTTCAAGCAGCGGAACCTATAAAAGGGATCTTCTATCAGCTTTTGGGTGGAGGTCAGGTGCAAGGTGTTAGATCGATTCTGTGCACAAAATTGACGGAAAGATTGGCCTTAACGAGATTGTTGCAAGGCGCTGGTATTAAGGGTCTAATTTGGTTTAGAAGAGTATATAGTAGAGGGGATTCATTCCTCAAGCTAACCGACATCTTGCAGACACAGTCGTCCCTCAGTAAGACATCTGGAGCCGCATAGTTCCAGTTTAGAACTTTTCAGTTTCAGTTCTAAACAGGAACTATGAAGCTCCAGATGTCTTACTGAGGGACAACTGTGTCTGCAAGATGTCGGTTAGCTTGAGGAATGAATCCCCTCTGCTATATTGTTTGAGAAGAGTACTCATTGTGCCCACCTGTTCACACAGGTTTTGGCTCAGGCAGCCTGAGTGCAGGGATTGGGACTGCCACAAGCACATTTGGGTTTGGTAATCAAACAGCCAAGCCCATGGGTAGGTGCCAGACATGCCGGTAGACATGATATTATACCCTGTGGGAACATCTGTGTGTGTTAACGTTACGTTGTTGGTTCATTTGCATCTGGTGAGGAAACTGTCTCTGAAGCCTGCATCACTGGATGGTCTCAAGTCTTCAGCTTTGCAAGTCATAGCTTTAAGTTTGATAAAAGCTACATGTACCAGCATTGAGCAAAGCTTAAGATTTACCGGTAGTATGGAACAACTGACATTGATTTGTAAGATTACTAATTTGTACAGTTTCTAATAAAAGAAGTCATGTATCTTATGTACAAGTACTTTAAGGGCACAATTTACCTGTTTTGACTTGTTTTAAATGCAGGCTTCATAAACACTACCAGAGCTTCCTAGCTTGGCTTTTTTCTAGGTTCTTGTTTGTAATTTCTCGTCCCAAACTTGTAATATACAAAGTCCTTGTCATGGTTCTTTTTTGCTTATCCTGGGATGGAGCATCAAAGGGAATTAGACCTTCACATTTTTGTTTTGGGCGTTTTGTTCCTGTAAAGTATTTTTGCAAATGCTTGAGTAGTTTTGATTGTACATGTATGCCGTTTATGATAATGCAGCCATGACTTTGCTCAGGGCAACCTTCTGATAACAATAGCATGCTTATGATATTGAACTAACATTAATTTTTCTCCATTCCATTTGTCTTTTTCCCAAATGTCTCCTTTTTATTCATGCTTTTCTCCTATTAGACTATTTTCTCAAGTATCCTAAACCAGGCCAGTTGTAGACCAGTGTTACAAACAAACTGACTAACTCAAGCATAAAAATTTTGTATTACAATTTACATGTACATTGTATCTATATTGGAATACTTAGCCTGGGTACCATCAGGATTTTGCTCTGCTGCGCTCGATGGTACCCAGGCTATGGAATACTTACGTATGTGTAATACAGTTTATGTGCTTGGCATCTTTACTAAATTTGCATGTTGTAAATTAAGGTTAATTCATAATTGAAATACATGTGGTTCATGTTGTGAAAAAGAACACAGAAATTTAAATTTAATGTAAATTAAGGTTAGTAGAAATAGTTCATACCGGTATTCTGAAAAAGAAGGCAGAAATGATGGCAAAGGGATCCTTGTAGAACATTTGATAATTCAACTCTGAATACATAATGTACAAATACGTAATTGCTATGGCCTTATGCACATGTATCCCTGTGTTATAGAATAACTGTGTACAATTGTAAATGGGAAGACGAACTGGCCTGGTTTAGGCAGGTAGCTCTGTGCTGTACCTTGTCTCTCAGCAGTGGTGTGGTCTGACGTGGTGTGTTGCTCTGCTCTGCTGCAGGTTTTGGTGCTCCCTCTCAGTCCACTGCCTTTAGTGGGCTTAAGTCTTAGTGGGACATGTCTTCCTCACCACCCACCACCCTCGTCTGTAGGTCAGAACAACCTCCTCCCCTCACCACACTTCATGCACTCTTCAGTAGACAGTGCCGCGCTGATAGCAATCCTTGGTCCTCGGGATTTTCCTGCCTTAATGTTGACCAAAGAAAAAGAAAACAGCCACCCTATCCAGGACAGAAATCTAACCTTCAAAAAGATTCCACAAGAATTGGTGCTATTTTTTGAAAAACACAAATATGTACATTTGTACTCAATCTGTACTAAGTTTGTATTCAATCTCAAACTTGTTTTCAATCTTGTGCCTGTATATTCTTACCTTATTTTAATCTTCAGAACCAAGGAGTTGTGTATCAGTGTGGCATAACTAAAGGAATCGTTGAACAGTGTTGTGACTAACACTGTCACAGCTGCTATGCCTTTTGGTGGGCTTGAGGTATTCTCTGCCAAGTATGCATGTGGCCAAATGTACTTCTAGCCATCCTGTTCACAAACATACCTGGTGACTACAATGTGCATGAAAAAATGTATTACTAGTACATGTTAGAGAATCTATACTATCTGACATCACCAGAAGGACTGTATGCTTACTCAAGGAAAATGCCTCAAGCACCCTCGATAGAAAATGCTATATGAGCATTAAACTACTGTCCTGTAATAACAGTTCATCAGCATGGCTTGTTTAGACATTACTGTATTAACCCTAATCCTGCTGTCATGTGCTGTAATTAATTGAAAATCAATCTGTGGATGGCAGTGAAAAGGCTATAATATTTTCTTACATCACAGTTTAGACATTTGGCTGTAAAAAACAACTTAAACCCTCATAATATCAATACCATTTGGACTTAACATCATTTCACTTCTTGTTTTGGCTGACTTCTGCTGTCACCAACTTAATTTTGGTAGAAAAATGCCCTCTACAAGAAAAGGGCACATACAAACAATACTAAGTTGCCTGTCCTGAACAGTACATACCTCTAACGCATGTTTGTCTGTATTGTACAAATTGTCCAAAGCTTATAACACAAACCCTTTTCACTCTGAATGTTGTGACTTCAACAGTTCTTAAGTTTGTAATAGTTATTGTCAATATGACAAATTGAAAATGATTTGCACATACACATATGCAACTTGAGTATGTTCTGTTTGGTCAAGATGCTGCAGTGACGTGCCCCTGATCAAATCTTTATTTCTCCCCATAGGTGCTGCTACACCCTTCCCGTCAAACGTAGGTCTGCTGTTTGGAACGTCAGCGTCCGGTGCCACCGCCGCAGCCAACAAACCCTTCCAGTTACAAAAGCCTCCTGCTGGAAATAAGAAAGGGAAAAGATTTTAGTGATACTACCTAGTGTACCATCAAGATGTTTCCCATGAAATTATTAAAAACCAAAGCCTGAGTGTCAGCCTTTTTAGCTTTCGTTCACTTCCCACAATCTGCTGCCAGCCAGTCGGTAGTGGATCATGGGGAGTGAATGAAAGCTAAAAATGCTGACGCTCAGGCTATGAAAACCATGGAGCATAAATAACAGGACGTAACACATAAAATGCTAGTTAGGAAGAAAGGATATGTGACAAGAAAGGGAAGTACTGAACTTGTGATAACTTGTTCTTGACTTGTAATTACCATATTTACAATGTACATACAGTGCCATGTCTCAGCCATCAAAATGGTGTTAGATTCAGCTATTGTACACTTACAGGATACTAGACTCTGACTTTCTGAAATACTGGGTAATCATGTTTGATAGTAAATCTAAAACCTTAAATAGAAAACAAGTTTAGCTATTGTAAAGGCTGTGTATTTGTATTGTTACACATTGTACTTCTACTTGCAACATCATAGTGTTCTTGTCTACTCTTGTAACAGTATTTTGATTCATACAGCTTGTAGCAAATGTCAAGTCTTACCTTGAAATAAACATTCCTCTTGTATGTCACTGGCACCTTTAGTCTTTGTACTGGCAACTTTTACTAAATATTAGTACATTAACTCTGTATTTCCTAGCCTGGGTGCCATCCTATTTGTATGCCTGAGCTTCCATACTCGCTCCAAATGAATTCGTAAGGTATTGGAGCCCCGCATTAAATAGGATGGCACTCAGGCTATTTATTTCCTTGTCTTCACTCACTTTTTATATTCTAAATGAAATAAGGTTATCAGAAATATGTACTAGTAATATAAACCCAATTGCAGACTGATTCTAAACATGTTTATTCATTGTTACATCTCATATCCAGCACTGCAATGTTCAGGACAGACAAATCTACTTGAAAAATATACCAAAGCTCATATGATATACCAAAATAGCAGATCAGCAACTTCTGCTATAATTGCGTATCCATGAAAACCATTATATTAGTTTTTACTGTTGCAGTATAAGGCTTTTGTTTCCACTTAAGGCAACTACAGGTCCACAGAAAAAAAAAATTTGTATCTTCCTTGACAAATTCACAGCAAAGCCATACATGAGTACATGAAAGCAATTAGTTGGGGAAGTCACAATGCCAAGAAACTGATTTATACCCTTAGTTTTGCGCTAAGTTGTGGATAGAAAGGATCTTCAAAGGGTTATCTAATGAGTAAAACCCATTTGCACTAACGAAAATTATTAATGAGATATGATATGACAGTCTTTAATTTTTGCAATGCCCATTATGTTTATGCCACTGAGACAAATTGAACAGGTTAGTTATTCAACATTCAAGTAAGTTAGTAACAACTACTAAACCTACAAAATATTGGATATTCTGTTATTGAACAAATTCCAAACTGTGACACCTTTGAAACATTGGAACCAATGTTTTTGGGACTTCGCTAACTCAATAAGTTAACTAACTATGATAATTAAATATCAACAGCAAATTACCAGTAAATAAACCATGTATGGTAAGCATTAGCCCTCTCTAGTGTTGATTGCCAAAGGCATGAATGAACAAAGATACACCACAGCTCTATCAAATGTTTCCTATTTTCCATTAAACATACATTTTACTTCCACACTTCTTTTGCCATACTGACACAACTTCATCCCATCAGCTTGCTTACATGAAGTTTCTGTTTACTAAATAACATGACTGAAAAATGCTTTAATCCAACTATGCCATCTCAGTACATTTAATATTGACACAGTACAATTTATGTACAATAGGCACTAGGCACACAACATCCCTCTTAAGGGACACGACTTAGTAAGACACAACATTTCCAATCCTTGCACATGTACTTCTTTTTATCTATTTGTCAGGAAGATTTGAGATCAACAGAATGAAATAAGGCAGAGTGCTCCATATGATTATCAATATCAAATAACTCTTAAAACTCATTTACTTCCAAGTACATTTTGTACATACTACCAGTATGTATCTTTTGATGGTTAGGCAGCAACAAACATGGGAAACGATCAGAAATTCAGGTTTCAAAACAGGAAGTACAGAAATGGCGGCCATACCCAAAACAAACATTTTCTTTGCTAATCACCAAATAGGCTACCGACAACCAAGGAACAGAATAGATGCAGTCGTCTATTATAAGGCAGGATCATTACACACAACGTTTGCTGAGGCTATAGGTGCTTCTGGAATGCAGACAGTGCCAGGTTCTTGGTCTGAATACAGGATTCCTGAATGATGGGCAGCAACAACTGGAAGGCATCCTGGATGTAGGAGGCACTGTTGGAGGCCTGGATAAAGAAGATGAAAAATGAACTCAACTGGTAGATTTGATTGCTCCCAGACATATTTCCATGTCCTTGGGGCTGAACCACAATCACACACTACTTTCCCTGCCCTTGGTGCTATAACATTCACATGCAGATAATAGTTAAAGTCCAAACATTTTCCATCTCCTAGTGATTCATAATGTAACTGGTTACTGGTACTCCTGAGAAGTGCATCGAATTACTTTACATTGACAGAGAAATGCCAGGCAACTTAGAAAGTACCTTACCTCAAGGTACACATTGGTTATCAAGTGACTGAAGTCATCTGGTTTCTCAGTTTTACTCTGCAAGGGAACATCCAACAATTAGCAGTCATGTCTTGCCCATGAGAGTCTCTATCAAAAATCAAACAAGCAATCATAACCACAGACAGGGCTGGACATGGCATGTTGACTCACCGCTGCCTTGTTGAGGCACACACAGTACTTGTTGGACAGGACTGACACCTCCTCACACAGGGCAGACGTCAATCTACAACAGAACAGTAAAGTGTAAGTAACAACTGCGCAGATACACAATAAAGTATGAAGCTCCTCAAAAGTGTAGTGTGCGGCCAGTTCATCAATATAAGAGCAAGAGACGGGGGACGCCACAGACTTTCTGCAACCTATGATCCACTGCTCACGGAGTCACGTGTGTTATCTGTGTGATGTCACGGAAGCGGTGGATTGCTAATTCCTTGACAAAAACTGGAGTTGTACGGTCGAAAATTTGGGTGAGTCCAATTTCTTGTGTTGGAAATTACAGTTTAAATTTGCTTCATAATAAGAGCAAGAACTTAACACTGACGTACTTGGTGAGAGTCTGTGCCCTCTCCAGTGGGGTTTTCTCTGGATCCTTCTGCATCAGGATGAGCTCAGCAGCCTTCAGAAACTGGTGGATGGACTTGGCAGTCAGCTCAGCCAGCATCTGGATGGCTGCTGTGTGCAAATCCTGACAGGGACAACAATGTGGGTTAGATATGGGCAGATACAAGATAGATTTTTTTTATTATCACAGTTAATGAAAGGAATGGAATCCTAAATCGAAGGGGAACAATTATTATCATACAAGATATATCGCACAGATAGGGTCTCACAACATTTGATGCACAGATATAGTGTCTTCCGCACTAGGGACAGGGATGGTGTTTTGGAGGACAGGGATGGTGTTTTCAGCACTAGGGACAGGGATGGTGTTTTCAGCACTAGGGACAGGGATGGTGTTTTCAGCACCAGGGACAGGGATAGTGTTTTCAGCACTAGGGACAGGGATAGTATTTTCAGCACTAGGACAGGGATGGCGTTTTCAGCACTAGGACAGGGATAGTGTTTTCAGCACTAGGGACAGGGATAGTGCTTTCAGCACTAGGGACAGAGATGGTGTTTTTAGCACTAGGGACAGGGATAGTGCTTTCAGCACTAGGGACAGGGATGGTATGTTCAGCACTAGGGACAGGGATGGTGTTTTCAGCACTAGGGACAGGGATGGTATGTTCAGCACTAGAGACAGGGATGGTGTTTTCAGCACTAGGGACAGGAATGGTGTTTTCAGCACCAGGGACAGGGATGGTGTTAAACCAACACAGCCCACCTGTGGATCCTTAGTCTCCTCTTCTTCCAGGTCCTCCTCACATTGAGTCAGGTACTCCAGAGCATCAGTCTGGGCCTGGTGAGGGGTGGATAGCAATGGTGCATAAGACTCAGTGCCTGGTATCTATTACAGATTAAGGCTAAAATCAACTTCAAGTACCTCATTTGTGTGAGGCAAATTGTGTATATGCAAAACATAGAAAAAGGTTAATACTAACAGCTGGCTTACAAACCTTGTTCAGTTTATCTGGAGTCATCCCAATGTGCAGTTCAAACAGAAGCTCAGTGACAGTCTTGGCAAACTCCTGCACTTCTTGTCCTGGGGATAGACAATAGACAGGAATTCAGTCAAATACTTAACCCTGTGTATGAGGTTTTACAAATGTGGTGCAAAAGAAACTCAATATATCACCATTTCATATTAAGAAGTACAGTTGTACAGGGTATGCAAAATCTTTATGCAAAGAGAAAGCACTAAATTATCTTTATTCCAAATCTTTATTCAAGAGAAAACACCAAATTAGGAAATAAGCTCCCTTCAGCTAGTCCAGATCCCAAGAATGTCCTCAGTTTGGTAATCATTAAACAATTGCATGACATATGTGACCAGGCCCTTAACAATGCAGGACAAACCCTTCTGTGTCCGTACCTTCTGTCTCCTCCTCCACCACATCCTCCAGTTTGAAGGCCTCCTTCACCCTGATGAGCTCAGCCTTCAGCTCCTCCTGCTCCTCCCCTGTCAGGGCAGACAGCACAGCCTGCACCTTCCCTTCACTCTGGTTGGACAGCATCTCCAGGGCCTCCAGGTGGGCCAAACCTACAACATGTCGGTGAAGGTTAGACATCCAGGTAATAAGATATGCCAAAAAACAGTTACTCCAGTAACTGGATATGATTTGGGAGACAGTCAGTATCACTGAAAGGTAGTGCATGCTACCTGAAACATCTGACAGTTCCCAAAATCATATCCAGTTGCTCGAGTAACTGTTTTTTGGCAAACCTACAGCACATACGAGGTATCATGCTCAGCTTTAATTTGACAACTCCACTCAACTCCACTTTTTCAGATATAAGAGGGCCTTCACAAAACTCCTCCTTCTAAACAAGGTCTATTTCAAAGTCATGACTTTTATTACTATAAAATGACACATTTATGACGTAGCTTAATTAAATAATTAGTTCAGCCACGGAGCTTACCTTGGAACTCATCAAACATGATGCCAAAGTTGGCCTTCCTGTGGGCCTCCTCCTCTTCAGCTTCTTTTGCTCGTTTCTCTGCCTCCTCCTTGGCTTCTCGCAACACCTGCCACAACAGGAGAGGAGGAAATGAGTTCACATGTCTCTCACATTATACTTTAACGGTAAACTTAGGAAATTCTAGTGCAAATATGGTTTCATCTTATGAAATAAAGACTCAACTTTCTCTGCCAACACTATATTGAATTGGGACTTACCACAAATTTTCAGCTGACTCCCTCAACCTTGTTCACGGAATGGACCGGTCTAGTCTTGGAATGCGACGTCAGAGACACGTGACTGTAGTAGCGAGTCATACATGCCAGAGTTCCACTTCATTCCAGTGTTGGCAGAAAAAGTTGAGTCTTTATTTCAACACATATGGAACTTTCATGCTATTGTGGTTTCATCTTGTTTGCCTGTGACAAAGTGTAGAATGGCGACCCTACCTGGGACAGGTGTGACTTCTGTCCTGCCACCTCTATGATGTGTTTGGTCTTCTTGTACCCGGGGTCACCTTCAGCCAACACATCCATGGTCTTCTTCCCGACATACTCCAGCGAATCTAAGGTTCCACTCACCACTTTCTTAGTCTGTAACGCAGTCAATAACAAACAGTCTGTAGATTATATTTTCCTGTAGCTGTACACTCAAAATAAAAAATTGGAGCCTGAAAATTGATTTAAAAAAAACAATTTAACTCTGCAATAGTTCTAGGAAAGAAGGAGTTTTTGAACACCTCAATCCTTGGTTGAAAACTTCAGTACTTGAAGGCATGACTGTTTCTTGTTTTCTGAGCTGGTATTAGGTACTTAGTAGTTAGTAATCCCACTTACAGTGTTCTGCACAACATTGGCCACCATGGACACACCCAAGGCCCCCCACAGCCCCCCTCCTGATGCCTGTTGAGGAGAGGCCTCTCCTCCTGCTCCCTCTTTCTCTTCCTTGGCCTCTTCTGTTTTCTCTGATTCTCCTTTCTCCTCTGGTCCTTTATACCAAAACAACATTTGTTATCATTACACAGGGTAGTAATTCTCAATATGTTGCCATAGTCATAAACATCATGCTTGCACACAATATCAAAGATGATACTCTGAAACTGGCGAGGAAACACTTTCAGCCTTCCATAACTCATAAGGGTATCAGTGGACTTTAATAAACTTGCCCTTATCCTCCTTTGACTTGTCATCTTTTGCAGTCTCAGCCTCCTCTTTAGACATTTCCTCTGGAGTAGGGATTCCCAGAGATGACTCGACTCCATGGACCACATTTGTCAGTCCTGATCCTAAAGAGCAAAGGAGGAATTTTTGTTTTTAATTTTTGTTGGGACATACATTTTTCAGCATACATTGTACAGTATATACTGTCACTGCAATGAGTACCCATTGATCAGCACAACATCAGGAAAGAACCAACAAGTAATTAGTAAGAATCAGAGAACCATGTGTACCCTGCAGCAAAAGTCTGCACACCTCAATAATTCATAATTAATAGAACTGCAGCTGGAAAAACCCTTTGAGAACATAAAAATCAGCTGGGCAGAGACCAGAATTAGTATACAGGTGATTGTTCATCAAGCTTGTGGATTAGGAGAGCAGATTTCAAGACTGGAAACAGAGAAGTTCTTCTAAATTGTGGTACCTATTGATGACTCCACATCCTCTACAACAGATACAAAACTTTGCCCTGAAAACAATAAAGTAGAAAGTCATGAGTCACTCCTATAACAAGGATCTTTCATTGATTTTGTTGCTGTGCCATAAATATTTGCCAATGGGACAGGAAGGCCCCAGGCTGCGATGACACTTCAATGAGCAACAAGAAAAACAATAACAAAATGGACTATAAATACCAAGGACGTTACATTAAGTAAATACACACTGAAATAAAAGTCTATGAGAAATAGACATGTAACAAGTTGGTTGTTTAAAAAAAACAGCCAATGGATAAGAGAAAGTTTAAGCAACTTGGTTGAGGACTGACCACGGGTGATAGGGTTTTATGGAGTTCAAAATAACATTTACCTATCCTAGCACAGACTGTGGATTGTGCCCTACCCTTGTCTACCTCGGCTTAACCACATGTACTTAGTGTGCAAATAAAACATAAGACTGAACTCACCAACAGCTGAGGCTGTAGACATCAGAGAGGATCCAAAAGAAGACCCCCAACCACCCCAACCCCAGCCGCCTGATGGCTTCTGGAATGAGAACAGTTGGCAAAAATAAAGCTTGAATACTGGTAGGTGTAACTGTCTAAATAAAAAGTTACATGTATTTGTCTATATTGGGTAGATATATAGCACTTATTAGTAAATACTTTTGTGTTTTGATTATCATGTTTTCGTTTTTCAGTAATCTTCCTAAACATGAGAACAACTTTCTTTACCTCTTCTCCCGCCAGTTTGTCCAAGGCAGCATGAATTTTCTCTTCCTTCTCCTCCTCTTCTTTTCCCGGTCTCTTCCTCAACGGGATGGGTTTTCTTTCCATATCTTCTCCATCCTTGGGCGGTTCTTCAACTGAGTCTTCTTCTCCTTCTGCGTCTTCTTTTCTTACTTCATCTTTTGAATCCTCATCAGTGGTTGTGGCAGATGCTTTAGGTTCAGTATCTCCACTGTCTTTGGTTGACTTGTCATCAGTGCTTGGTACAGCATCCACCTTCTCCTCTTTGGGTTCAGCATTCTCTTCTTTCTCAGGCTCAGCATCCTCCTTCTTCTTGGGTTCAGCCTCATCAGTGCTGTTTTGACTTTCCTCATTTTCTGCCTTCACTCCTCCTTCTGCCTGTGACTTCTCAGTGGTTTCCTTACTGGCTGTTTCATCGTTCTCTTTATTGTCTGTTTGTTTCTTGGGTGATGTTTTTTGTGTTTGTTTTGTTTTCTCTTCAACATCCTCCCCTGCACTCTCGAACCCCTCCTCCTCTGCTTCAGAAGATGACATGGCTGTGAAAAAGCAAAAATCAACTTGTCAAGATGTTATGGATAGGAATGGTCATATTCTCATAATACCAGTTACAGTATGACTTAAAAGTGTGAGAGTGTCACTCAGATGAAATATCTGCTGGGAGACAAATACATATACTGTCATATCAACAATATCAAAGTACAGTAGTACTTACTGCATGCATGAGTCCTTAGAAATTCCCAATTCAGTTAGGCTGCGACTACTAGTACACCTACAATTTTGTGCATAGATGCTCTCAAGGCAGGAGAAAACACCTAACCAAATTACTAGTATTCAATGCATGTCCAATTGTGTTTCTGATGTTCTATTTATAGCATATATAATGTGATATGAAGGTGACTTTTTCAGGCTTTCAGTGTGTCCGGATATGGACAAATCTATCATCTCGCCCTTTTGACAGTTGTAATAACCAATGTAACCAGTTATGATGGATGATGATGGGTTGGTCCCTGCTGCCCTTGTCTGTTTGAAGGTTAATGGTTGTAATGTTATAGCCATACTAATGGCATTAAATTATCAACATTAGGATACCTTTGATACATTTGGGGACAAAAACATGTAAGTGGAAATCATTTGCATTATTGCATGAGTAAGGTAAGCTTTAACGCTTCAATAAATGTCTCCAGATTAAGATTGGCAGCACACACAGAATCCGTATGTCATACCATGACATGTCATTTGTGACGTGTTATATAATAATTTGAACGTGGCTATATACACTCCCGGAGTGTATATAAAATCTATTTGTCTTTTATATACACTCCCGGAGTGTATATAAAATCTATTTGTCTTTTATATACACTCCGGGAGTGTATATAAAATCTATTTGTCTTTTATATACACTCCGGGAGTGTATATAAAATCTATTTGTCTTTTATATACACTCCGGGAGTGTATATAAAATCTATTTGTCTTTTATGTACACTCCCGGTGTGTATATAAGATCTATTTGTCTTTTATATACACTCCCGGAAAGTTGATAGGGCATTCGAATGATCTCTCGCCGGTGCGAAGACCGCGCGATCGGCTGTGTTATCTGGAGTCACCAAAGGGACCGGGGCGAACCCCGGGTTGGTCTTGGTCTGATAAATGCACGCCAGACCGTGAGGTCGGCGCTTCTTCCGCATGTATTAGCTCTAGAATTACCACAGTTATCCATGTAGGATGTGACGATCAAAGGAACCATAACTGATTTAATGAGCCATTCGCAGTTTCACTGAGACAGTTTAAACTTGCACGTGCGTGGCTTAAACTTTGAGACAAGCCTATGACTACTGGCAGGATCAACCAGGTAGCGAGGACGCCAGGGGCGCGCGACCGGTCTCGCCGCCGCCGCCGGGAGCGGAGGGTCCCGGGCCCCGCGCAAGCGGGGCGGGGCGGGTCCGCTCGACCGAACTTCGGTGGAGATTTCCGTGTTGTTTTCTGATTTTCATCATCCAATAAGATAAACTTGAAGACCGAGGTTTAAACTTGGTGCCCCTGAATCCTCAAACACTCACAAAAACCCAAGTTTTGGGCCTACCAAGGAGGCTAGTATTTCGGAGTGTATATAAAATCTATTTGTCTTTTATATACACACCGGGAGTGTATATAGCCACGGCGTTAACAAAAATGTGATCATCACATAATAAAGTTATTGAGGCCTTTTTAATTTTTTTATAGAATAATACTGTAAATAATATTGAATAATGTCCTTATTAAATATCACCCAAATGATCTACTGGACTCTTACTAATGTTGATAAATATTACTGATTACAAATGGTAAGCAACACAATTCATGTTATATAATTTACGTTTGTTACCCTCCCCCAAAGGCTGAGATTAATTATTGAGAGGGCGAATTGGGTAAGACAGAGATGGTTACACACCAAGACCCGGCACTATTTTGTCACAGTCAACACACCTGTCTACTGAAGGAGTCGTTTCCGACAACCAGTGATGTCAAGACGAAGAAGGCGAAGGAAAACCTTGACCAACAGGTGTACACTCTCCTTGCCTGCCTGGATGCCGCCATTTTGCTTTCACGTGACGTGCAAGGTTACCACAGGTCACCGACCCAGGAGGTGGGAGCAAGACTGTAGGTCAGCCCTCTTTGATTTCCAAGCAGATGTAAAACAGAATTTTGCATGAAATTTGCCCAGGAAATTGTCTTTGGCACCATGGCGTTTGACACCAGAACTTAGCCTGTACTCTGGAAGAGGCAAACTGTACTCCTTCATAT